TATATATATATATATATATATTTACCCGCAAAGTTACTCGCATACTCAAGATGAAAACTTGTCCATGTTTTAACATTGTTACGTTGACTTGACAAGAAGAATCGTACTGAATTGAAGAATCGCCGTCGTTTCACTCGCCAGTTTCCTCGGTTCCTCGTTGTTCCTTTTCAAAGACATTTTGACAAACATTTTCCAAAGTTGCAAAACAGAATGCAAAATTTGAGTAATTTTTTTCTTTGAAGAAAAATTTATAAAAATTCAAATCCACGTTTGTGAAAAACATGGAAAAAATTTATATTGTTTTATATTGTACGCAAAGCTAAATCCACCGAGTTAGTCTTGAATCGAGATTAAAGTTTTTTCCTTTCTTCTTTCTTTCTTTCTTTCTTTCTTTCTCGTTATTTCATCGAGCAACGTCGAGGAACGTCAGGGTTGCGCGATGAAAATTCACGACGTAGAAAGAATTCTTCAATTTCGTAATTCCAACGTGTGATGTATACATACGTGACGTGAGAATATAGACTCGCACAGATAGATCGTTATTAGATTCGTTATGTGGAAATCAACATATTACAGAATTACGTGAGTAAAAAGGATGTAAATTATCGTGTAATGTGTTTATTGTACGATGTGTTGAATTATTTTCATACGTACGAGTATCACGCGAGATACGTGGATACTTTTTCACGCTGAGGCTGAAAATTGTTGGCGTAGAGAATAGGTATTGGATCGGAAAGAAGATTCGAGATTCAAGTTTGAAATTGAAAACGACGGGATGTCGTTTCTCGGAGATGTATATTCTCGGAGTGATGTGGATATCGATTGAAAGACTGTATCGCACTACGTGTGTACGTGTGTACGTGTGTACGTGTGTAGCAACTTGTTGTACAAATAAATGTGACGTGTCGAGTGTATCTCGATTCTTTTTACGATACACACACGACCACCGATTGGCCGGCCAAGCCTTCCTTCTCTGAGGAAGGATTTTTTTCAAATTCAATGATACGCTACGAGAGAAAGCTGCGCTTGCTGCTAGAAATAATGACGTGGAATCTTGTCTGGATTTAGGCGTTCGAACGAAACGAGTTGCCATTGACAACGACGGGTGACACGTCAACGTCAGGTTTACATCGTCGATTGTTCAATTGTATCGGCTTCATCATGGAGGATCAGTTGCGAGGAGTTTATCTGCGCTCTGTGGAGGAATATCTCGATTATCTTTACAACAGAAACGTAAGTTCGAAAAGAAAGAAAGTTCGAAATTTGTAAATTTAAAGTTATCGGTTTATATGGTTTCTCTCGCTGGTAGAATACGTGTCGCGGCTTTGACGTGAAGGTGACGGTACGGGATTCAAACGTGTCGTTCGAACCAACGTTCAAAGTGTTTTCCGAAACATTTTCAACGATACTGAACTCGTTGGGCGAGACGATCGGTACGCTGCCACGTATCGAAACGCTACTGAACGTTAGCTCGATCGTTACCGATCGAAAATTGCTCCAGGTACTTTTCAAATTACGATTCTCTGCCGATTCTTCGAATATCTGGTATTCCGTGTGGTATGCTATACCGCGTGGACTGTTGGTTCCTGTTAAACGGATAAACGTGCGATTATTTGTCGTACCGTAGCCGTACGTATCGCGAGAATGCTTCGTGAAGCACGCGGAAGAAATTGGACGGCTGATCGACGGGGAGAAAATTGGCCCGATCAGGCAGCTGAGTGAATTCGAGAAGTACGCGACTTTTATGAACGATCGGGAAACCGATAAAGTACGAGAATTCTTAAAGTACGACACAGCTGAAAATTTTGACAAGTATCGGACGTTAATCGCGAGTTACGATCGTTTGTCCCGTTCTGTAAAAGTCGAGTATAATCGAACTTATTTCGCCGGGTTCTTCACTGTCCACCGTGGAGAGATTATCAAGCATATCGCCACTGTAGCTCTGAAGCTTAAAGAGGAATTGGTCGGTAAAATGATCAGCGAGTATCAACAGAAATCTAGAGGGTAAGCGACTCTTTCTTTTCA